TCCTCGATGTCCATGCCGTCGATCTCCGCGAGGAGGGCCGCCACGTCTTCTTCCTCGAGCTCGTCGGACTCGTCGGCTCCCTCGTCGTAGTCATCCTCTTCGTCCTCGACCACCTGGTAGTTGGCATCCTCCGACCTACCTTCACACCGACCGAGGTTGGGAGAGGAGGAAGAAGACTGAAAAGCACCAGCGTCTGAGCGAGCGCTCGGCCCTAGGTCCTCAGACGCCGCGGCTAGCATGCTGCCTGTCCCGGCTTTGCCAGGGAGCAGGCGCTCAGTGCCGGCGGATGAATCCAGCTGGCGCAGCGCCCACTTCACACTGCTGTAGGTCAGGTCCCCGCGGGTGAGCGTGCGCAAGTTCTGCACGCCCTGCTGAGTGAGATTGGCCCCTTCCTCTAGGAAGAGACCCTTGAGCTTGTCGGACATCCACAAGTCGTGGCCTTCCGCGTCGATGAACTCTGCTTCACGACGGCTCACGTACTGGGTGAGCGTCTCCTTGGAGTCGCGGACGGCCTCGTACAATGCTTTTCGTCCTGCCCGTCGTAGCTCGTCTCCTTCGCGCTCCCCGATCATCAGGTCCATGCGACTGAGGAGCGTCTGCAACCATGACGATGCAGTGAGCTCCCTGTCTGGAATGTCCTCGAACTTGGCCTGCATCGTCCAATCGAAGAGCCGCATGAACTTCTCCGACCTCCTCCAGACTGCTACGTCGGTGTTGTCGTTCCAGCGCCGAATGGCTCGGCGCCATTGCCTGTAGTGGGCCCAGCCGGGCCATGCTGGAGGGTCCGAGAAGTCACCTCGGCCCCCAGTCCATTGGCCCGACCACCAGTTGCTGTTCCAGCTCGAGCTCCAGTCCTGGTGCTCGTCCCACTTCTGATCTTCCTTCACGTCGTCCTTGTCGCCAGGTGGGCGCTGCTGTCCTGAATCTCCTGCTGCTTCTCCGCTGCCCACCTCGGCGACTGGTCTGGTTCTGCTGCTGCTCCACGGGTCGGCCCCCGTGCCGTCCCATGGGTCGGCCACCGTCGGTGCTGTCTCTGGCGGTGGCCGCTGCTGCTGTTGGCCAAAATGGCCGAGCGCCCGCGCGGTCTCCTGGACCGCGGACTGTATTGCCCGAGTGAGCGTCTCCTGGTCGATCGTCGTCGCCGCCACGACTGTAGATCCTGATGCTGCTGCTCCGGCCGTCGACCCCTCAGCTCCTCGAGCTGTCATGACGGCGAAGGTCTCATCTCGTCCATCGCCTCCTGGGGCGATTGGCGGCGGCTGCCGCTCACCATCTGCGGGCATCTCTGCCGTGGATCCCACGCTGCTCAGTGGTCAGAGCGAAGCCTGGCTCCGGGGCGCGCAAGCGCCGAGCGGCCTGGCCGTCACAGCCAGCCTCTCGCGCCCATGGCCTCCGGGCCGGACCCCGCTCCGCTACCAACTGTGGCAGCAGGAGAGGGGACAGAATGTTTTCCCTTGAGCCACATGTGGCACGGACACGTACAAGATGGATCTCTGTCCATCGGTCCCCAGGGTGAAACATCAAAAGCTAAACCTATACGTGAGATTATGGACCCCTGGAACAGGAGGGCGGCCGCGGATATTGCTCTCTCTCACACACGCATACACACACACGCGCACACGCACACGTACACACACACACACGCACGCACTCTTGTCCTCAATCGCCAAGGGGTCGCAGTAGCGCAAACACGCAGACCGCACGACCACTTGCGTCAGCCTCTGCCACGCTGCGCTGCGCGAGCACATCCAATGGCTTGCCAGGTGCGACCACAAGCTAATTGCACATCCTGCGTTTCAGGGTTTCGCTGGTGCGGCCGTGGTACCTGGATGAGGGGCAGTCCACATGAGCAGACAGGAAAGACGGGCGCGCGCAGAAAACAAGCGAGAGAACAGACACGTGCACGTGAGGGGACCAGAGGCCATGAGAGCGGTCCCTCTTCAATTGCACGCATCGCATCTGGCGAGCTAGGTAAAAGAGGCGGCGTTGAGGCTGGCTGGAGGCAACCGCCAAGACGGGGAGACGAAAGAGAAAAACTGAATGGCGATCTCCCTGCACCACAGAAAGCATGGGTAATGGTAGTGAACGCGGTAACTGTTGCCAAATCCAGGCTAACGATGTGGCCGGTTAACAATGCGATGTTGTATCTGGTCTCTGCGACACTCAACGCGCTCAGGAGCAATGTAGGAACACACGAACCACATGTTCCTACAAGCGCGAACCACTCTTGCCTTCCGTTGGTTCAACCAGATTGCATGCCCACCGACAATACCCAAAACGACCAAGCCGTCACGGAGAACACCAGTGGCCCGTCTACGGTTTGTCGTTGAGGAACGGCAGCAACTGTCGTAGGATGAGAAAGTACTAGGGGCGTGGTCAGAGCGGCAGGTCATCAACCTAGCAATACTGGCCGCAGTCGAAGCAACGACTAACAACGCGTGGAAACAGCCTCGAATAAGAGCAGGACAAGGAGGCGAATGTCCGAAAACGAAGAACACCCACGAGACACCCGCAGCAATGCCACACCGAGCGCCTCCACCCTCGGGCTTTGCCCCAAAGAAATGGTGATTGCGACAGAAATGCCGAATTGACCGTGGCAGAATGGTGCGGCAAAGACGCCACGGGAAGAGGCGGGCTGCAACCGAACCGAACTCGGAACACCAAATGCAGTCCGCGCAGCTCGTCGAAGCATCGCCCTCGGGCTGCGTGCTTCGCTGAGGACGAAGAGTTTCGCTGCAAGTGGCATGGGGCATATGATGCAAACGGAAAGATATGGAGATAGAAAACATGTGCGTGAAAGATGTTGGGGACAAACCTGTGACAACAGACGCGGCGCTCACGACGGGGAAAGGATGGGAGGAGCAAAACACGCGCATCATTAACAAAACTTGTGGCTTCGATGTACACCTCTTCACGGTTGGCATTGCCCCATTCCCGTCCAAATCGCGCGCGTCCCTAGCCTCGTCGTGGACAACTCACCAAAACAATGCTTGCACTCAGGGGCTCCGATGTCGCTTCTATCATTTCGCTTCGATACATCATTGCTTGGGCACGGGGGTTCGCCACGCTGCGGGCCCGCGTCGCCTCGTGGGCGCCCCAGGCTCGGGGGACATGCCGGCGTTGCGCCGCGCTGCCGCCCGCGCCGCCTCGTGGGCGCCTAGTGGCCTAGTGGGCGACCCTTGCCGGGGGGGGCATGCCGGAAGATGCGCCGCGTTGCCGCCCGTGCCGCCTCGTGGGCGCCTCGTGGGCGCCCAGCGCGTGGGAGGTTTGCCGAGGTGGCGCCACGCTGCCGCCCGTGCTGCCCCGCGGCCGCTCTCGTGGGCGCTCCGCGCCTGGTGGGGTTGCACGGCGCTGCTCGCACCACAAAGATTCCATCGCACAGTCGCCATGTCCATAACGCCAGCTTGTAGCTCCCCCCGCCCCCCCCCCAAAGAAAAGCGGGGCACGCGATGAAATCATGGTCCCCCTGCTGGGGCAACTCGCGGGGGGGGGCGCCCGCCAACTGGAAACACACGGTGGCGACGCCGGTGATTGCCGCCGACACCTGGCCGTTTCAGCGGAGGGGGCCACAGCGCCTCCGCTATAACGAGGCGGTTGGGCCAACCTGTCCACATGCAAGGGGGGGAAGACGAGGGGGGGAAGGAAACGCCTCAGCTGGCTGGCGGTGCCGGCATGGCTACAGACAAGAGAAAAGAAAGAGGGAGGAGGAAGATCAAAGGCGGGCGGAAAGAACTCCTGATTTTCCTTCTCCGCCCCCCTCCTCCCCCCGCTACAATATCCTATAACGACGACGACCGCGACGACGATGACGACGACGACGCACTGCGGATGCTCCATGGGGGGGGCGGGGGTGTTGCGTATGCCTGTGTGCCTGCTGTGCTCGTCGACGCCGACGGCGACAACGACGACGACGACCACGACGAGGACGAGGACGAGGTCGAGGACGAGAACGCGGGGAAGACGACGAAGACGAGGATGAGGAGGACGACGGCGACGACGACGCGACCACGACGATGACGACGATGACGACGACGACGGCGACGCACCGCGGATGCTCCGTGGGGGGGGGCGTAGGCCCGCTGTAGTCGTCGTCGTCGTCGTCGACGACGACGACGTCACGACGACAATGACAACGCGACAAGGACGGTGACGACGACGACGACGACACACTGCGGATGCCCAGTGGGAGTGGGCGGCGGTGCTGAGTAGGCGCGCCGCAGTCGACGACGGGAACCGCGGATCACGACGACGACGACGACGACGACGACGACGACGACGACGACGACGACGACGACGACTGTGGCACGATTCAATAGTCAGCCTGAGAGGGGAAAAACTTGGCCTCGGATGTATACGAAAAGCAATCGTTCTGTTGCTGCCGCGCAGGGGCGCAAACGATCCCCTCGGCTGCGCCCGCGACGGCTGGCCCCCTGGCGCGCGTGCTTACGAGCATAGTTTCGCGGCCCGCGGGATCTTCTCATCAGCCCTGGGGGCGGGGGGCATCATTGGCGAACCACAAGCTGGCATGAACTCACACCACGCAATTTACACGGAAAAGATTGCACCCATTCGATTGCAGAACATAGAACTCACCTCCACAAGACAATCACGGACTGCTTAGGGTTCTCACTGGCCAACATCTGGTGTGTATATTTATACATGTATACACACATATCACATTTTCTTGATTTCGCACCTTCACGTGCTACTACTAACGAGGGTGCCAAACAACTTCAGGATGAGCGCAACCGAATCGGAAAGTAGCACACGTTTTTCTGAAGAAGGAAGCCAAAACACAAACAATGACTGCCATTCCAATAACCTCACTTTCGGGACGACATCCCCCCAACAATACGGCCCTCTCCGATTGGATAGGGAGGACGGAGCTGAAACGCTGAGTAGGACCCGCGCATCCCAAAAACACTTGTTTACGTTCAAATATTGACATGTCGCAAAGTCCACGACCGCGTCATCGCAACGAGCACGGGGGCGCACCCAAGAGCACCAGCAGAGGCTTCCCGGCATCGCCCTGCTGCGCGGTCCGCAGCACCTGCGTGGTCTCCTCGCCCATGCCGTACCCCCCCCCAGCCCCGCGCCGTCTTGGACGGTTCGGGGCGGAAGCGTTTCACAATTTCAGGGGTCCAAGGGTTTTTTTTCTGGCGCTGGCGTCGTCAACAAACAACATCCAAGATAAAACAAAGCACCGCCGGGGAAGGGGCCGAGAGCTCCAGGAGTGTTGAAACAAACACGACGCCGAAGGTTTTTGAACCAGGCTCGCCCCCCCCAATCTGCAACTGCCACCGCTGCGGCTATCGTCGATGTCGCCGCAATCGCCACCCTGGCATGGATTGGCTGCCATTTCTGCTGCAAGCAGCGCTTGGCTCCTCTTCCAAGCTGCATGCACCACTCGGCGAGAAGGTGAGTGGAGCTATGTTGGTCCCATCGCACTTAAGGACCACATCCCAGAACTAATTTCGAGCACCCGGGAAAGTGTCGAAAGAGTATCGAAACAGTGTCGAAACTGTGCCGGGCGAGTGCCTCCCAGGGCCCGACACGTGGAAGCCCTCGAGTTTCGGTATTTTTTCTGGTGCTCGGAATTATTTCTGGTGATCACGGCTAAAGTAGGCTGGAACATCATAACGCTCGGCGAGAAGGTGACCGGAGCGGGGATGGCTGGACCGAAGCCCATCGATCTTGTCGGCACCCCGGGCTCGAGGGGGCCCACACGGCCGCCCCTCGCCCCACGCCGCAGACGCATGGTCGGGTGCTGCTGGAAGTACCCCTGGCCCAAGGTGCCCTCAGGATCCTCGGGGTGGCCCAGGCGGCCTCCAGAGTACCCCTCACGAGGCCCGGAGGGCCCCGGGGGCCCCAAAGTGGAGCGAAAAGCTGGGGGTACCTTGGGCCAGGGGCACTTCTAGCAACACCCGATATGGCGGGATTGGCGCTCGAGGCGGCTCGGGAGCGCCTCACCTGCAGCCTGACGGCCCCAAACTGTCGTGTGGTGGACACTACCATTAGGCCGGGCGCGTCCTCCTACAGGCGGATTTTGGGCGAAACACAAGACGTAGCAAAACAATGCTCAAACCTATTCGAAAAATGGTCGAAGGATGGTCCCCAGACTATGTTTTGACTATGTTTGAAGATTCCTCCTGGAGGGCGTTTCAATATTTTCGGCGACGTATGTAAGGCCTCCCCCCCGCCGTGTCGGAGCGCACTGGGGGGGGGAGGGGCGTTCCGTTTTTGGGGAGGGAGGGGGGGCCCAGGGGCTATGATGCCCAGTGTGCCCCACGCAATAACGAAACACGCTCCTGTAGCCCTGTAGAGGCACGTGCCCGCCTTCACACTGCCAGCCGCAAGCACGGGCCACGGGGGGCCGCGGCGGCCACGGAGAGCGCAGGCGGCGACGGCGACGGCGGCGGCCGCACCCGGGGGGCACTGCGGAGCAGTGGGCACGGCGGCTGCAGCGGCCCGGGTGCAAAAAACGAGGAGCGCGTTTCTGTCTTTTCGGCGACGGTGGGCATGACATGGGGGGGGGGGGGAGGGGCCAGGGGGGTAGCGCCTCCCCCTCTGCCGTGCGCACGGCGGCAGTACCCGGAGCGCACTGGGGGGGAGGGGCGTTACGTTATAGGGGGGGAAGGGGGGGCCGAATCGGAATCCGAAATCGAATCAAATCGGAATCGGGAGCCATCGAAATCGAATCGGATCAAATCGGAGGAATCGAAACGAGCCCTGCGCCACTTCCCTCCTTGTTCCAACGACTAGATCAACGACAAGCGTTAATAAAGCTGCTGATGGGGAGAAGGGATGGGGCAACGAGCCGCCGGATCTGGTTCACCAGATTTCGTGCGCCCAAGGCCCGCGATGACCCACGACGCGCGACGCACGGTTACCTTCGCGCTCCTTCGCCGCGCCCCAGGCCGCGACGCGCGAAGCGCGATCATCCTCACGACCCACTGGGCAACCTTGCCCAACGAAACGGCCACCGAGATCGCGCCCAACACACGAGGGGGCCAAAGGGGCCACGAGCCGCTGAATCGACCACCCCACGCACGGGGGCCACCAAGGTCCCGTGGGGCCACGAGCCGCCGACTTGCTCCTTGCCTTAAGTCGGGCCTGTCCTCCTACAGGGGGATCTTGAACGACAAATCAGAAATAGTCAAACAATACCCCCAAATGGTCAAACAATGCTGAAAAAAGCAACCTCCAGACTATTTTTTGACTATTTTTGAACACTCCTCCTGAATGAAGAGGGACACGCCCGACTTAATCCTTGCCTTCGAACCCGCGAACGAGGAGACATGAGGGGGCCAGGAGGGTCCATGGGAAGGTCGCGGGCCATCGAATCGATTTAGCACCACACGAGGGGCCACAAAGCCGCGGGACACAGCCCAACGCATGCAGACAGACACTCGGGACCTCGAGCAAGCACGATGCGCACCTGCAAGCTGCTCTCACTCGCTGATCCGGAGTGCAAGGCGAGCTGCGACGCAAAACCACTTTTGTCGCGAGCCATTGCTTCGTGGGCCCTGGAAACGACAGGGCCGTCTTCGTTAATTACCGGTTCCGTTTTGCCATTTCTGTTGGTGGTTCCGACGCCGTTTTTTCACTGGTTCCGTCGCCGTTGTTTTACTGGTTCCGGCTCTGGCTCCAATCCTGGAGCCGTTTCTGTTGCCGTTTCTGGTCGCCGTTTTTGCCGTTCCCACTTTCGAGAGACACCTTGCCGGAAACGGTGAAAAAACAGGCCTGAAGCTTTTGGGTCCCACTAAGGGCCAGCGTGCTTATATGTTTTTTGTCGCGGTCGAATCCTGGTCGAGGTCGACGCAGGGCGAAGCCACGCGAGAGACAGGGCGCCAAGCGGAGGACGGCGGCCGCGGAGGGCAGGGAGAGGAGGGGCAGCGCGCTCAGGCCGTGGAGGTCTTCGCGAGGATGCACTGACAAGCGCACGGGCATATCTTTCAAGAATCGCAGGGCAAGACGAGTGCGGGTCGCGGCGGGCGCGCATCGGGCCGCCTGTGGTCGCAGGCAAGTCTAAAAGACGAACAAACAAAAACATAAACATGAACTTTGGGCGATCCGCGCGGATTTCTTGCATTCGCGCTGGACCCCCCTCGCTGGCGCGCGGAGCGCGCTAGGGGGGGCGTCGGAGCCGCCGCCGGGGGGCACAGGCGCGGATCCACGACATCCGCGCGGAGCGCCAAAAGTTTCTGTTCGTGTGGTTTCTCTTCTTCGGAACTCGCGCGAGGGGGGGGCGCGGTGCGGTGCGTGGGGCGCCGAGGCGGGTCGTCGGGCGGGCTGCGGCGGGCGCAGGTCGCGGGCGCGGTCTCGTGGCGGGTCGCGCAGCGGGTCGGGGTGCGGGTCGCGGGGCGGGTCGGTGACGGGCCAGGGAGCGGGTCGGGTGTTGCGGGTCGCAGGGGCGACGTCAAGAAACGTAGGAAGGGGAGCATGCAGCGCGGAACGCCAATTCGGCGATGCAGTCATGCACGGCTGCGTGACCGTTCGACTCCCTCGCTCTGATCGTCATCCGCTAAGTCACGAGTCACGAGTGACGGCGGGGCTGCAGCCAGGCGGATCGAAAGTCGCCGTGCACGGGGCGACCGAGCTGCGAGGGTCCACGAGGCCACAGTCGGCCAAATCTCACAGTGGTGTCCACGCCTGCGGAGGCACATGCTGATGGACGCAACGACTTGCATGGGCAGCCGAATCGAGCGCCCTTTGCGCACATCTGCAGGGCGGCGAGCCACGAGGGGGGTACGGGGCCCCGGCAAGCATACTTCAACTCGTCACATCAAGCGCAGGAAGAAGTCTGGAGGAACTGCGATGAGATTGGTGAGGGCAATGGCAGGAACCGCAAGAGAAGCATGCCGCCGAAACTCCTCGAGATCCTCGACCTCTGTCAAGACTCTCAGGCCCAACGAGGACAGCGCGGCGACGTGAGCCTAGCCATGCATGCGTGACAGACGTTTCAATATGCGTCGCGACATCGCAAACACGTCTGCTCATACACCGTGACTGTACAACTTGATACTATACTGGGTCCCGACACGTATCCCTGCATCCGCCTGGACAACCACAGCAAGACACGTCGGCAAATGTCACAATACATGAGGCATGGCAACAATGACCTTGCCCAGGCTGACCAACATACGCACTGCATATGTTCAACAAGCTGGCTCCACACGAAACGTACCGACTGACCCTCTGTAGCAAGTGCCCGTGCAACATGCAGAAGAACCCATGGACCTATGGACGAAAGCTCGGCTGGCCATTTGTCACCGAGAAAGCGCCCCAGTCTGAGCCCACGAGCGACATAGTTGGCAGACTCCGGAAACCCTGAACCCAAAAACGTTTTCATCTCCTGGGGGCGCATCGCTTACTGCAGGTTCGTGTCGTGCCGACCCCGGCGTTGGTTCCTGACACCGCGCTGGATCGTTCAACCTTGAACGATCGGCCGCTGCCGCAACGTCCGATCGTTCAACCTCGATCGATTCTGGGTCGCCGGCGGCGTTCAACCTTGAACGCCCGCGCTGGGGTCGCCGCTGGTCGACACGACGCAAACCTGCCGTACTTCCGCCGCCTTCCGCCGGCCTTCCGCCAGCTTCCGCCGGCGGAGGCGGCCTCGTTTTACCTCCGCCGACCTTCTGCCGCCCCTCCGCCGCGGAAGAGATGGCACCGCCTTCTGTCCTCGAAGGCGAGGCCCTTTTCCCCAACCGTCCTGTGGTGTTGGGTCCTCGCTTTGAAGAGACAGCGCCCGCGTCCTCCTTCCTTCCTTCCTTCCTTCCTCCTCCCGCTGCCTTCCCTCCCTCCCCCCATCGGCAGCATCATCGTCACCATCATCACCATCACCCATCATCCATCAGCATCATCATCTGCAGCATCATCCTCGTCCTCATCCACATCATCATCATCATCATCATCATCATCATCATCATCATCATCATCATCATCATCATCATCGTCATCATCATCGTCAGCATCATCATCATCATCATCCTCATAACCACCGTCATCATCATCAACATCATGGCCGTCATCATAAGCACAATCGTCATCGCCACCGTCATCGTCGTCATCATCGTCATCGTCGTCGTCATCATGGTCATCATCGTCATCGTCACCATCATCGCCATCATCATCGCCGTTGTCGTCACCATCATCGACACCCAATTCGGCACACCCCTCACACGTGTCGTGACCCCATGGGGAGCTCCACCGAAGGCCCCAGTGGCAAAGTTTGCGTGCAGTTCCACCCCACATTCTGGCCCACCCCTCACACGGTTCGTGACCCCATAGGGCGATCCACCGAAGGCTCCAGTGGCAAAGCTCGCATGCTCTTCCACCCCCATTTCGGCGCCCCCCACACGGTTCGTGGCCCCATAGGGAGCTCCAACGAAGGCCCCAGTGGCAAAGCACCCCTCACACGGTTCGTGGCCGCATAGGGAGCTCCACCGAAGGCCCCAGTGGCAAAATTCGCATGCAGTTCCACTCCATTTTGACACACCCCTCACATGGTTCGCGGCCCCATATGGAGCTCTACTGCAGGCCTCAGCGGCAAAGGTCGCATGCAGTTCCACCCACGTCTCGGCGCACCTCTCACACGGTTCGTGGCCCCATAGGGAGCTCCACCGAAGACCCCAGTGGCAAAGTTCGAATGCAGTTCCACCCCCATTTCGGCGCACCCCTCACACAGTTCGTGGCCCCATAAGGAACTCTACTGCATGCCTCAGTGGCAAAGTTCGTATGCAATTACACCCCGTTTCGGCGCACCCCTCACACGGTTCGTGGCCGCATAGGGAGCTCCACCGAAGGCCCCAGTGGCACCGTTCGCATGCAGTTCCACCTCCATTTCGGCGCACCCCTCACACGGTTCGTGGCCCCATAGGGAGTTCCACCGAGGGCCCGAGTGGCAATGTTGGCATGCAGTTCCACCCACGTCTCGGCGCACCTCTCACGCGGTTCGTGGCCCCATAGGGAGCTCAACCGAAGGCCCCAGTGGCACAGTTCGCATGCAGTTCCACCCCCATTTCGGCGCACCCCTCACACGGTTCGTGGCCCCATAGGGAGCTCCACCGAGGACGGTACTTACCACCGCCTTACGCACAACTGCACATGGCTGGGCCCTTCGCCCGGATCATTTTCGGATCGCGCCATGTGCACCCCTGAGTTCGAGTGCGAATGCGCACAGCACCCATCACTCCTCTGGCGAGGGCCAGGCTCCCGTCTGCCGCCAACACACCTCCAGGTGCACAGTGGAGGCCCGTCCACAAGAAACCTTGTACTGGCCATCGCTCGGACGTCCATTTCCTGTGTTTTTTTGATTTCGTGCGTTGTTTCTTCGCCAAATGATTAAGAATACTCCTCGATGGTCCTCGCCGAAGGAAAAATGCACACGTCCGAGCGATGCCAAGTGTACAAAAAACCCAACCCTCAGACCCCAGGACTCTTGGCGTGGGAGCGTCGCGCTCTCCATCGCAGAACCGTCGAAGCCCGAGAAACCCGGGGCAGCCTGGAGACAAGCACGGTGTTTCTTGGCATGGGCCTCCCACGTATCCTCCGCCACGCGGCACAGGCCAGACAGCCGTTAGACGGCCTCTCGCAAGGAAGGCGAGGGGGGGCAGTGGCTGACTGTGTTCGCGTCAGTCGGCCATGTCGAAAAAAGGAAGATTGGGGATGTGAGGGGGGAGAGAAAAACGATGTGGGGCTCTCAAGATCAGAGAGGGCGCGTTTCACGGGCGCTTGGCCCATGTGGCTTGGAAAATCCCCCCCTCCCGGAAAACGGGGGGAGGTGAGGGCCGTTGCGGTCGGGGGAGTGTTTCGGCAAGGTGCGGATCTGGTGGTCACCGTCAACCACGCGGGCAGGCTGCGGTATGCCTTGCACGGACTGCCCCCGGGGCGGATCCTTTTCAGAGCTCCTTCCCTGCATCCGAATCCGGCTCGTCTGGGACCTCTCGGGTGTTCGGGTGCCTCCCCTCCTCCTCCGCCCCCTCTGCCTGCAGGCCCCCGGGGCAGCAGCAGAGGTGGCTTCCCTCCCGCAGCACCCGAGGAGAGCTGGAGGCGAGGCCATGCCGAGGAGGGCCTCCCTCCCGGCTGCCCTCTGGCAGCCGTCCCCGCAGCGCCCACTCCCCGCCCACTGCGGCCGCCATCCATCCTCTGCACACCCGGGGGGGGGGGGCGGGGACCCCTTGTCATTGAACCGGCCTTGCAGACGTGCTGCAACGGATTTTGGCGTGGATGTTCGTCAGAGCAGAAGCCCGAAACGGCTAGCGAAAAACGAAGTGAATTTCACGTGGATTTGTCGTCGTCTGAATTCCACACGAACGCAATCCGCACAAAATTCACTTCGAAATCCGGAACGGACAATCCAGGCCCATCCCAATTTTTTTCAAACGAAATCCGCTCTGCGATTGTGGAACCATGACCCTTGTCCCCCCCCCACCCCGGGAGAGGGGGGGTGTAAAAAACGGAGGGATGGGGGGGGCCTCCAGGGGAAAGTGGGAGGGGGGCACGACAGAGAAGAGCGGGCGCCCCCCCTCTCCACCCCGGACCCCCCCCCCCATCGGGAGCGACGACGACGACTGCGACAGCGACAACGGCAACGACGACGACGACGACGATAGCGACAAAAACGACAGCGACGACAGCGACAACGGCAACACCAACGACGACGACGACGACGACGACGACGATGGCGACAACAACGACGGCGACGACCACGACGACGACGACAACAACGACGACGGCGACGACGGCGACGACGACGACAACGACAGCAGCGACGGCGACGACCACGACGAAGACGGCAACGACGACGACGGCGACGACCACGACGACGACGACAACGACGACGACCATGACTACGACGACGGCGACGTCGGCGAAGTCGGCGGCGACAGACGGCGACGGCGACGGCGACGGCGACAACGATGACGGCGACAATAACGACAACGACAATCTGGTGAACCGGTCGGGCGGGCGGGGCATTAAATGCAACCCGTTGTGCTAGGAAAAAAGTCATGGGACAATGTGTCACAACCGCCAAAGGACGCCGATCGGGGGGGCCGAACATTCAATGAAACCTGTAGTCAGTGATGGGGTGTCCAAATCGGACGTGCGGGCGTCATATGCGTCCTACCACCCCATGTAAAACGCAAGAATTAAACAGAAATCGATCACCGCCGAAGACGCCGGTCGGGCGGGCGGGACATTCGAGAAACCATTGATTCATGGATGGGGCATCCATATCGGGCGGGCGGGACATTAAATGCAACCTTCCTCCTGTGTCAGGCGAGAAGTGTATCGCGACCGCCCAGAAACGCAGGACGGGCGGGTGGGACATTTAAATCAAACCTGTAGTCAGTGATGGGTCGTCCAAATTGGGCGGGCGGGACATCAGATGCAGCCTGCGCTGTGCGAAATGAGATAATCAAGGGGGAATCGGTCAACACCGCCGAAGACGCCGTTCGGGAGGGTGGGACATGCAAGGAACCATTCACTCAGTGATGGGGCGTCCAAAACTTGCGGGCGGGACACTCAATGCAATATCCCCCGTGTGTGGGGAAAAAGTTCATGGGGAACTCAAATGCAAGGGCGAAACACGACGGTCGGGCGGGCGGCACATCACATGAAACCTGTAGTCAGTGATGGGGCCTCCAAATTGGGCGGGGAGACTCTTAATTGCAACCTGCACTGTGTGGAACCGATCACAACCGCTGAAGACGCCGTTCGGGCGGGCGGGATATTAAAGGAACCACTCACTGCATATCAGGCGGGAGGGACATTAAATGCAACATTCACTCTGTATTGGGAAGCGGTCATCGGAACATATACCACAATCGCCAGAGACGCCGGTCGGGCGGACGGAACATCACATGCAACCTGTAATCAGTGATGGGCCGTCCAAAGTGGGCGGGCGGGACAAAGAATGCAACCTTCACTGTGCGATGTGAGAAAT